ATTCTACATTGGTGGCAGCGGACGCGTTCGAATTACGCGAATCGGACCCCAGCCCTTTCTCTTCTATGGTCAACAGAGGCAATAGACCCTTGAATGCCAGCTGAATTTGTCATGGCGTTCATCCGATGTCCAATACACTGGATCCATAGACATTGCCCGGGATTAGGACTACTGCGTCTGAAGAGGCATTGGCAACTCAGCAACGACGACTTGGACAGTGACAGCCAGCTGGACTGCAACTGCGAAGGACCTTCAATGAATGATGAGTCTTTCCTGCAAGTCTACAAGACCAAAGTCCCTCGTCAACTATTCGCACGGGCCACTATCTTGCCAGATGTGGGGTACGGGAAGTGTCGAACTGGATATTTTACCAACACTGGATATCAACAACAGTGCGGTGAACCAAGCCAGAAGCTGAGGACAGCTTCACTCCTGTGGGGGAGGCAGTGTGACGACGGATCAGGGCGCAGGCATGTTGGACCACCTGGCCGCAGCCAATCCTGTGTCCCTCTGTGTTAAAATGGCATGCGAGGAGGATAAGCAGCCAGCCAGAAAAGGACACGACTGAGGAGCAGTTTATAATGAGCGGCATTGCCAGCGTAGAGGACTTGGATGGAAGGCGCCTGACGCGTGGCTCTAGCTTGTGGTTGGTCAATAAAGTCTGTTTTTTTGTTCCCGTCTTATTCCTATTAGTGCCTGTGTGTTCTAAGTTGGCGGCTCTTGATAGGTCAAAAGAGCCTATTCTGTTGTAATAGTTGTTGTGAATCGTGTTTTTTCAACCCATTAATCCGGTCGCTCCACTTCCTACACAGGATTCTCCTTGTCGCAGCATGTCGCAAGTCGCAAGAATCCTCAACTCCCCCTTTATTAGCACGAATACTTATCTTGGAGTATTCTACACATAGGTCTCGATGTTAGCGCATGTATGACTCCCACATCCGAGGTATAAATACAAACTCGCAAACCCTACACACAACACAACGACACCAACGATTTTGAGGTGTGAAGTAAACGATTGTGCCCACGTCCTCTCTGGTATTTTTTCTTCATCGCGGGTATCGGACAAGCATTATTAGGCCAAAGTTAATTCCATGGCACCAACGTGGCTAAAGACCACACGCTGGGGCCGACAACACAGTCTTGTTCCTATTAGAGATCGGGTATTCTACTGTGTATAGCTGAAATAGGGCGAATTCAGCCAGTCGTTTGTAATTTTCTTATTAGACCTAGAGTACTCAATAAATTCACAAGCGATCAAGAGCTTTACAGAAAAATGTTTGGAAAGTATTTCAGGTGCAAGTCTGGAAGCCTGTAGAAAAAATGAAACCAAGTTGATACTAATAGAAATTAAGGGATTTGGTTTATCGATAATAAATATTCTTTTCAATTTTTAATTTCTGTGAAAATGTCCGAAAACCCATACTTACGTGCAATATATGTAAAGTTAAACATATTTTCAATTACACAATGAATTACAAATAAGTTATTAGTAAAATGTTGCTTTAAAATTGGAGAAAGGAAGGATTTTGATATATATTAAAAGGCATAAACCAAAGCAAACATTAATCTTTCACAAGAAACTTGTGTATAAAGATTTAAGATATTTCTTTGAAGTTAAACACAATTTCCACAGTAGTGTGATTCCATGCAACCTTGCCCACGTCAACCATGCTTGTAAAAGAAACTACCAACTGCATTAAGATCTACAAAAGTATTTAATTTTCTGTTTTTTTGTCAATCGATGAAATAACGAAACAATATCTTACTCTAACGTTGAATATTTTCTTATAGTTAAAGTAGGCTAACGGTATATGTGCGTTTGTTGAAAGCCCGTGTAACACTTTCAGCCGCATACGATGTCGGAGTTCCTCATTATTTCAATTCCAGCGGATCGTGATCCTGAAAAGGCCTATAATGAAGTCAGTAGCAGTCTTTCTAAATTTCCTGTTGCCCAATCCGTTTCGCGCTTTCCTATCCCACTGAATTTAAAGGTAGATGCTTTGACGATGTAACAAAAATAAAGGTAGGAACTCTGGACGTGCTGGTCGGGATGTCAGATGAATTTGCAAAGCTGGATTCTTTTGCTGACACGTAAGTGCATTTTCTGTAATGGCTGTTTCTCACCTGCGCAAATGAAGACCCTACGAGATAAGTTAAACTTCCTTTGACATTACTTTCTCGCTTTTTCATGAATCTGTTGAAATGTCAAACGCAACGAATAATTGTAGTTGTATTTTTGGACTTCGTGGCCGTTTTTGAATTAGCTCAAAGGTGCCGTCTTAGCCTATATTATTTTGACCGACTAGTTTTAAAATGACCTAGTCTTATTGAATGTTTTTACACCAGAACCAACAACAGCTAACACGTTACGTTTTAAGTCATCAATATTTGCTCATTTTTTGACCAAAACGCAATGCCTCCACTCTACCAGAATTTATTTTTGGGCCTCTGTCTTACAATTTATTTCGGTTTTAATTTATGAAATCACTTTTAGCATTGTGCGCAAAGTTGCTCAGTACATGGGGGATGTATTGGAAGAACAAAAGCACAAACTGGCTGATAATCTTCTTGTTGGTGGAGGTTTGGTTTTTCGCTTTCTTGTTTTCACTCGGGCTATCGTAGTTTCGCCGTGCCTTTATGTAAGCAAGTTCCAGTGGGATACGGCAAAATATCCAATTAAACAGCCTCTCCAATCCTTGCATGACATCCTTTCTGAAGTAACTTCTGTGTGTTATGTTTCAATCTCCTACTTAAGAATCTTTCTCGAATTGAAGCTGATTTAAGAACCAGGTCTGCTACGTATAATAATATCAAAGGCAACTTGCAAGCAATGGAGAAAAAACAAACGTGAGTTAGTGATTTCGGTAACGTCTAATTTTTATCTAACAGAGGTAGTCTGCTGACACGGAATCTTGCCGAAATAGTGAAGAAACAGCAATTCGTTCTGAATTCGGAGTACCTTATTACTGTCGCTGTTGTGGTGCCAAGGTAGCCTTGCTGTTCCCTTATACACATCACACCTTTGGCTTGTTAGACAATCCTACAAAGAATGGGAAGCATCTTATGAAAGTCTCGTGGATATGGTTGTACCAAGGTCGACTGAGTGAGTATTATTTGTCTCTGCTTACCATTGTCTAGGCTAATTTACGAGGACCAAGAGAATGGTTTGTGGACAGTGACGTTATTTCAGAAAATGCTGGGTGATTTCACTCTTCGCGCACGAGAAAAAAAGTAGCTAATTGATTTCCTTACTATGCATCATGTGAAGATTTATTGTTCGAGATTTTGTGTACGATGAAAAGATGATTGAGGAGAGCAAAAACGCCCTGTCCAAGCTGGAAGCAGATAAGAAAAAGCATTTCGTAGGTTTGATTTATTTAAGCACCGTATATAATCCTTCAAAGACAACAGCAAATGCATGAAACACCATAGATGAGTGCCGTTTATCTCGGGAATTTTCTATTTCATGTATTCTTCATTTGCTGCTGATTAGCATTCGTTTTATAATGCAAGTTTTTTCTTGTCCATAAGTTGATACTATTTTTACTTAACATATTTCGGACGAATTTTCCACATAGCAGACCTGATTATTATTAAGTCGTCAAGATATCACGAGTTGTAACGGATTCTATTCCAAATTTTAAGTCTTCACTATGAAATCTAGTCGACCACGAGAGGTCATCTCATGCATTGCCCTTAAATTGCTAGCACAATGTCTGAACTCGGGATGCTATTGTTAACTAAATGTACACTGTTGGTGGGTACCATATTCAATGTCTTCTGGTCTCCCTTTATTAGCCTCCTCTTTTCCGGTGGCTCAGGGTGAACTTTGGTGAGGCATTTGCTGCCATGATGCACATCAAGGCTCTTCGTGTATTTATAGAATCAGTCTTACGGTAAGTTATGAACTAACAGGTTTATTATCACATATCAGTCTCTTTGTTGTACTCGGTTTCATGCAAAGCAATCAATGGCAGCTGGTTTGTTTCGAATGAGTGTCTTCTATTAATGTCCAAAAGTGGTGCTTTTAAACTATCGGCCCCGCACTAACATGCATTAGAAATCGAAAATATGTAAAATTCAATAAGTGATGTCTACTTGGACCTACCACACAATAAAATGCATATTTCTTCAATCAAATCTTCAAATCGAAATAGCATTATGTCACCGTTATTGGCCAATTAGGCAGTAAAATCCTCCAAGTTAACAACAATGCCACAAAATACTAGTGGATTTCTTCAGGTACTCTGCTTAGAAATTTGATCCTCGATTTGGACTAAAACTTCAGACTGGATAAAATCCGTAGTTGAGAAATAATCGTCCATCTCAGAGAAGTCTGATCAGAAATCCGACACATTTTGTTATTACGGTTCGATGAATCATGCATTTTAAGCACACACCGGCCGGAAGTCACATGTTAAGTGCAGTGTTGCGCTTGTGTACCCAATTGGTTAGACTCTCTTACTGCTTAAGTGCAAAATAGGATTTTTAACGAAAATTTTCAGACAAGTTCTATATCGCTAGTCAAAAAGATGAATTCTTAACTAGGTTTGGTTGATGTGGATTCAACGATGCGGAAACAGGTTTCACCTCTGGCCGAAATTTTAGAAGTGGCTGTTTTTAACTATCATTACAATTTTCTTGTAGGTTTGGCCTCCCAGTTGATTTCGAGGCCATTCTCATCATTCCAAACAAGAAGAATTACAAGAAATTGCGTGAGGCCCTTCACAACATGTTTGAGCATTTGGATAATCTTTCAGTGAGCAGCACAAAGGATGTGAGTTTATCCTAAATTCTCGAAAATCAATTCATCCAAATGTTATTAGTTTTTTACTCTTTAAAATACAAGACTTCTAAAAATTCTATGGAAATCGAAACATCCTTAAATTTTGAGAACCGTTAGACGAAATTGTAGCCAATTTAGCCTTGCCTGAGAAACGGCGTTCCACCCTGAGGTCTTGTCTATGGCAGTAGTATTGTGAGTATTTAAGCGACCAAGATGGCCTACGCATTCTCTTTTAGGAGGAAATACCAGGTCCCGGAATGAGCCATGGGGAATACTATCCATATGTCTCCATTACCGTGGAGACTAATTTCGTGGAGGCGCATTAATTACGGCAATCAATCGTCGCAATGTCCGTTGACGTGCAGTTGTTGGGCCAACGAAACACTTTACAAGAAGCATAATAATCGTCGTACCGCTTTGTCACCTAAGTGATGTAGTACTTCCGTTTTAATCAAATCCGTTATTTTATCACTTTACTTCGTGTGACATCAAAATCTAACAGATTTCAAAGCTTTCTTTCGTATTAAATGCATCATGTTATTGGTATTATGGACTAGGGCTTTGTCCTCCTTAATTTATAACGACAACGGCCTAGTTTTGCTGTTTGGAGATTTGATGTTATTGCCACACAATTATTACAATAAAACGGTGCTCCTGCAATATGAAACACTAATGCCTAAACGAACGAAGTTGCAATCACTTGCAGGCTCAATAACATAAGCAAATAGAGAATGAGGGAGGTTCGGGTCCCAATGGTAACGAAGTCCACCTTAACCCGAAAGGAGTGAGAAATCCCTCAAGTTCAAGATGTGGTGAATGGTTTACTGCAGCGTCTGTTCACCACGATAATTACTTGTCGTATGTACTTTTTGTGACCACATCCAAGGAACTGTGGCTGTGACAATTTAGCGACTAACGCGTGGAAGTGTTTAAATTAGAGAAGTTCTTTCAAGTTTATGTCTACCAGAAGCAAAGCAGGAGGCCTGAATATTGATTCGGAAACATAAGTGATCTACTGCGTTAAGTATTCGGTGTATTTACACGGATGCCAAATTTTCGAATGATAATTAAGGGATAATCATGGTAAGGTGAAGGAAGATGCATAACCGCACGTACAACTCTACTCAAGTCTGCCTCGGAATTTCGAGTAATTTTATTGAAAGTTACGGGTAGCTAGTTGAAATTTGAGGTCACCAGACCCTTTTATCATGAGTTAGACAGGTTCAGTTTTGACTTCACTTATCTCCACGGTGTTTCCGTTTCGGAGCACTGTAATTGAAAAGGTGTCACGATTTTCGACGATTTCCGTGACCTCGTTCGCGTTGATAACTTTGTTGCCATCGATTGCCGTTATGATGTCACCAGGCTTTAGACCAACCCTGAAATAAGAGAAATCCCTGGAATTAACCATTATTTAAATTATACCCCTGTTATAAAATCAAGAAAAGCCGGAGTGTCTAAATAGATGCAAGTAAAAAGTACTAATGGACTACTCTTTTTACCTACGATTTCCCGATCAAGCGTTAGTAAATTAAGCATTCACGGACAAGTCTGCCCAAGTAGGGGGAAAGTTAAGCGCAGAGCACGAGTTATCACAACGGATCACCAAGTGGCGAGAAGTGAATTTTACTAAACTTAATTCCGCAGATTTCGTTTGATTCGGATTTGGTCACCCGATAGTTATTAAGTATAAAGAAAACGACAGGCAACCTTTCAGCAGGAGAACCGCGAATAACCCCGTGGATGTAGACGCCATTGTGAACAGAGTTGCCGGGACCACCACGGAGGAGACCACGCGCAGCTAACTCAAATGTAAGGTCTGGAGTCAGAGTTCTCATGACAAGACCAAGGTAACGAGACTGTCTCTCTCCCGATCCGACGACCAAGGAACCGCCGTTGCCAGCGTCATTGTCCCCTCCGAACCAAGACCATGACCCGGTGCGCTGGTGCCTCGGGGAACCCGATGAGGACTCAGACAAAGGACGACGGCGAGGGGTCTGCTGTTTGTTTTGCTCTTCGGCCAGAGCCCTTTTGGCAGCCTCCATGAAACGCTGGACTTGGTCTATGGGTACTGCAAAGCCTAATCCGGTGTCTGCTATCATTGTATTCACTCCGATCACCTTGCCGTACAGACTGACAAGGGGCCCACCAGAATTTCCAAACTACGAAGAAGATAAAAACAAGGGGACTTGATACTATATTTACTTTACTAGACATAAACATGTCTGGCGTTTTACTGTGCGGCCGATAGAATGGTTAAATTGATGTGCTAAACCGCTGTTTAAAATCAAATTATTTTTACATACAAAGAGTAGTAATTAGTAATTATCCTCACTGCAAATACCTACAACGCCTGATATAAGACAGAGAAACGTTTCATAAACAAAAGCAGCCGACGAAAAATAAACCCGTTACTGCAAATCCAACTGACCATTAAAGTATAACGGAAGCTGTGATCAGGCATTCACAAGTGGGCGACATTAAATTCAGAGCACGAATGCCAACATCCCCAAGAGAATTTGACAGTCACATTTCGCGCTAGCGTGGTTATGGGCAAAGTATCACTCAGGGTGAGCAACTTCAAACGATGGAGGAATAGGGCTACGACCACAATCTCAGCCAGATAATCAAAACACAGATTTAGTTGACTATAATTAGCCAATACTTGTTAAGCTATAGTGCGGATTATTGCGACCGAGATTGGAAAAGAAATTGGGGTATCGGAAATGATAGGGTCAAATGTTGTTTTGGTATTTTTATTCAGAGGGGATGATTTGTTGAAATACTTCAACACAATTATTATAAGCATAGGAAATCAGTTGGTGTCTTCACTAACCGCATGCAGGTTTAAGAGCTGAATACCAAATAATGACAAAACGTGAAATAGTATGAAAACGAGGTAGTTTCTACACGACACACGAATAAATATTTTACTAATAAACTAACAACTAGAAGATATGGTTACTCATTCATACCATCGGGCAGCTTCACGAGGCATGTCCCTGGAATATGAATCTGCACACCGAAACAAATTATTCCGTGCCTTTATTTACTTTGCAGACACAAAGTCGCCTATTCACAATTTTTCTCAATGATATTTCGAGCCTAATTAAAGCCATATAGAGTGAATTTCGACCCAACACCATTGACAGTCATGAATTATTGACCAGTTTCGGTGAGTTTTCGACTAACATGTGCTTCATCTGGGTCAATAACATGACACTTAGCAAAAACAACAGCTTCGATGCGCTTCCACAGGTACTGGATTATGCACGGCACGCAAATATCAAGTAAGCGAGCGCCATATGCGGCCAACAACAGCGACCAGATCTGGATGCAGCGGGAAATGCCTTGGAGGCTTTGAAGCCGCGCTTTAGCTAGACAATGTACACTTCGTGTTTCGAAGGTAGCGACCGTCACTATTTTTAATGCGCCTGTTTTTAGGTCTCTAAGCTCATTGAGCTTCCATGTGGAAAACAGGCCCGTCTGGAGAAAAGGAATTTTTTTATTGCTTTGGGTTGTTAGACTGTATTCTTTGAATTCTTACCCAAAACTGCACACAATATGAGTTCAGTTGGATGCAGTTTTGTTCTTTTATTGTTAATCACATAAAACATTTGTTTGACAGAAAAATGACGCTTGATCTGTTTTGTATTGGGGGAGGTATACTGACCCGGAAGCGCAGGCTTATCATTGGAATCACATCAAGCTGCTTCGTCCAATGTGTAAGTGCATTATTTACAACAACAAAAAATGCAAAAATTGGGGAAGCCGTAATGGAATTACTAGATTCTTTGGGATTAACCATTAACCATACTTACCGTGATTATTGCATCGGTCTGAATGTACTTGAGACCTGTCCTATTGCCCAGATCCCTTTCCACAGCTGACACTACCCCCATCGTAACTGTGTTGGAGAGCATCAATGGACTACCGAGAGCAATAACAAATTCGCCAGGTCGAATTTTCTGCTCAGCAGGGGCGAATTCAAGGACTGGAAGTTGGCTCAATGTTGAGGTGTCTGCGTTAATCTATTCAGACGAACAAGCATTTTACACGTCACATAGCAGCACCATTATCACCTTATATGCTATTTGTAGAAAAGTAATAAAACGGGGTGCGACTCAAGTAATGATACACTTAAAGGGTTTTTAATATTCGAGACTAATAAAAACATATTTGACTATTATCAGTACGAATTTAGACAGGCAAAACTTGGGCTTACATGCTCCACGGCAAATCAAAGAAGTTAGCAGCCTAAACAATCGTAAAACACAGAATTGAAAGATGAATCAAAAACCCGGTAAGATGTAATCAGCGAGTGTGATGGCTAGTTGAATCTCATGCATGCGTTAATACCGAAGGTCAAATGTGTTCGATGAATAAAGAGGGCGTGGAGAAATTAATGATTTGACAGAAAAATACAGGTCTGAATAGATGCACAGGAAATTGCTACGAAACCAACTTCATTTCCAGGTTGAATTCTTTCCTAGCGTTACCAATGAGGCCAACGGGAAAAATATGTACAAAGTCTTAAAGTTTTTGCTCCCATGCTACATGAACATTCGAAGCAGTATTTGCGACCGAAAAGGCAATGTGTGTGCGACTGTAACCGTCCTTACTTGAACCAAGGCCAGATCTGAATTCATGTCGACAGCGAGCACCCTTGCATCAAAATCGCGGCCATCTTTGAGGGAAACTTTGAGGGCCTGTTTGTGACCCACAACGTGCGCGTTCGTTATAACTAATCCGCTGTGGTCGACGATGAAGCCCGACCCCATGGAGACATTCAACTGGAAAAAGTGTCTAGAATTCAAAAATCTCGATTTTGCAAGTAGCTGCACAACTATCGTAAAGGCGAGTAGGGTTCATTACCCAGCAGTGGTGATGGAAACGACTGACGGGGAAACCTCTTCGACAACATCAGCAACAATGTCAAGCGATTTGATTGCACTGAGACGCGCAGATGATGGCACCGTTTCACATTTAACGGTGGAGAGAATACTCCAAGTCAGATCATTGTCATCGTCACTTCGGTGAACGAAAGCAGAGGATAGAGGAGAGACAATGAGAGCAAAGTAAGGCACGAAACTGGAGCGGGCTTTCTCCCTGTGTGAGTAACGATGATAGGCCTTGTCAGAGATAAATCGAGGTGAGGCGGCGACACGCTGCCACTTCAAGGTTGATATCCAAGAAGTGCGAAGGAATTTGGACGAGTAAGACTTAAAAACGAGGGAAAATACAGGCTTCAAGTCAATCAATTTAACAGGCAGAACATCGTATTTTACGGGACAAATTAGTGGTTTTAAAGCAGCATTCAGAAAAGCCTAGAGTAATTTATAGAAGCAACGAACCCACTTCCCAAGTGTACGACAATGCCTGATGGTAAACTAGAACAGGATATTTAAGGATTGTCTGAGATTTGGATCACAGATTCACACTTCCAAATGACGTAGGGAAGGTTGGATTTCACATGATATCTGAAAGAACCAAGCCTCAAAATCGTACTGCATTAGACCAAAAAGTTAGCGTGAGAATTACCTCCGCCAATCAGGGCTACACAAGTTTGGACAGGTTTGATGTTAACTAACTTCGCCACATTACACGAGCCAAAAAGTTAGGCGATGAAAAAAAGCGTTACGGCTTCTAAGTACACAGATGGCATTCATATAACTACAATCATAAATTGAGGAGCTTGGGGTTGTGCATTCCAATGACAGTGGGACACAAATGTTGGCTGCCACACAATGCATTGTCCTGATTACTTGCTTGTGCGGGCCAGCCAGTCTTTTAAGGTTCTCAAGATAATTGACTAGTATTTTTGGTTAAACAGTGACAATTATGTGAGGACCTACGTATCATGTATTCATGTACATTTGATTTCAGTTTCTCAAATACGAAAAAGCCGTCCAATTCAGAGATGTTAAGGCAACATTTTATCCACCTTGGCGTAATGTAAAGGCGCAAGCGTTTACTTTCGCATGCAAACAAAACAGAACGATTGCTTCGAAATAAATACGTTCGCATTGTCTTAAGGCAGTAGCCACAGGGATATTACCGGACGCAAATAATTGACTTGTTGAGTACATACAGATGAAGCTGAAAGAGACGTGAATCCGACGACGTGAGAAGAGGGTAGGACAAGTAACGGCAAATTTACAGCAGAAAAGTCGACATCGTTCGAACAGAAAAAAATTTATACAGAAGATAGAGATTGACAATGCATCACGGAGGTTTCTTGTCAAAGGCATTAAGTTCGGCTCGGATTTTTTCCCGTTCCTTGAGGGTCTTCCAGGCGAAGTCTCGATCACGTTTCAAAGCAGAGCGTTTTTGAGCCTTGTAACTTTCAAGCTTATTGTATGCTTCGATAACCTAAGAAATAAGCACAAAATGATAAACCTGATCTCAAGGATTGTAAAGCCGTATGAATAAATAATGTGCCTCACACAGGAATGCCACAAAGTGGCTTCGATATGCTTAGCCGCCTTGAATGTTGGTCGAGGCTCTAATCTGTAATGACACGCGCACTAATTACATCGCTAATGATGTTGTGCTTCTGATGTATTACATACAACGTGTGGTAACAGTACCAACCTAGTGTGATCCCAAACGGAAAGAATAGCGGTGCATATAACCTGAATAACAGAGCTTACCAATTCCAAAAACTAACGCACAGTCTAATGTGCAAATCAAATACCTGTCGGATGTCAAAGATGGAAACACACGACAAAGGTCTGAGAGCAAATTTAATGAGACTATATGACGTGTTTGACTTAATTTGAAAAGATTTTTTTTCTTTGAGCTTCAAATTATATTTAAAGCAGAATTATCTTCCTGGTATTTTGTGGTTTTGAAAGAATCAGACACAAGATTTCAGAACACCGAACGATAAGTTTGTACAAGTTTAAGAAGTCAACTGACACAGAGCACATTCGGCACTGCATTTCATACGAATTCCAACAAGGGAAAATGTTTGTAAAGAATAGGAATCATTTTGAACGTGTTTGTAATTATAGGCACGAACGTTTTAGAAGTGGTGATTTCGACCTCAGTGACTAGCCGCGCCCCAGACAGCCTCGAAAAATCGAAGATGCGGAATTGCGAGCTCTGCTGGAAAAAGACTCAACGCAAACACAACAAGAGCTTGGGGCTCAGTCATGAGTTACACAAATAACTATATCCAAACGTTTGCACAAAATAGGAAATATTCAAAAACTTGGAAGTTGGGTCCCCCCACATGTGTTGACCGAACACAACTTAGGTTAGCGTATGAACACAAAATTTGCACCGCTTGTCCGGCAACAAAAAAGAACTTCCTGTAGAAAATTGTGACGGGGGACAAAATGTATACGTCTTAAGAGAATCCCAAACGTAAAAAGTCATGGCTAGATCTCGGGCAACCCAGTGCATCGACGCCGAAACAGGACATTCACTTGAAGAAGGTTCTCCTGTGTATCTAGTGGGATATGAAGGGCGCACTTTATTGCGAACTCCTGGAAACTGGTTGGACGGTGACCATGGAACGCCACAATCGATGCTTAAACAACCTAGTCGAAGAGGCCAGAGACCAGAAAAGGCCATTTACTGGGCAAGGAAGCATGTAAGTCATACTGCTGCTGCATGACCACGCTCGACCTCACGTTGCTCGTGCGGCTCAGAAGATCCTCTTGAACTCGGGATGGGAAGTTCTCCCACACGCGCGACATATTCACAAGACTTGGCCCCATCCGACTACCATTAGTTCCGGTCAGTGAAGCAGCATGCCTTAGTGGATAAACATTTCAAGAGGCTGGACGATGAGCATAAATTATTTGATGACTTTATTGCCTCGAAGCCTGCAAGATTTTTCGCGACGGCATTCGTACGTTACCTGAGAGATGGCGCAAATGTATAGAAAACGATGGGCAATATTTCCAAGATTTGGTTTTTTGTTCTCTATCCTTTTTTACATTAAGTAATATATTCAATAGTTCGACATCACCATTTTCAGTATTTTTGGGAAATGCTTACGAATAGGCTAAACACAGCTAACGTACATCAGCATCAGCTATAGCAAGTCGCCGTTGTATCTCTTGACGCTGTAAGTCTCTTCTAGCAGCCTGAATTAGGCGATGGAGGATATTGTGGTTTGCCGCGCACACAAGACGGAGTTCGCGCTGCCTTCTCATTAGCGCCAAGGAGAGATGGTCAGTACCGTCGCCATCGGTCGAGTTGGCAGCGGTGAGATTGAGCAGACAATTTGAGAGGTCATCATCGTCGTCGTCAAACTGAGGCAGACTAGCTGGAAACAAATTATCTTCAATAGAACCATTGCAGAGAGTGCGATGAGAAGGCTTGGGTAGTTCATCAAATTTGACAGGGGACGGTGAGCACTGACGATCACTTGCCTTAAATACAAGAAGTTCATTAATAAGCAGTAAAAAATGAACCCGACCGCCTCATTAGAATGAGCGATCTCAAGAGGGACAAAATTTCGCCAGCCCATCCATAAGGATTAAACGTCCTCATCCCAATTTAACATTAGTGCAAACATCGCTGCTAAGTTGCTGGTAGTTTCGGTCTTCTTTAGTGCTGAGGATTTCCGCAATATCAGCAAGGTTCAAAGATGAGTGGAAATAGTGATGCTGATTATGTGCCAAAGACCTTATTGGTTGCATCCTCCATGTTTGTGATAGAATGCTACGTCCTGAATTCCAGAAATTAAATATAGCGAATGGTGCACAATTTGTACTGATTTAAAATGAGTATTTTGGCACCGGTTAATGAATCCCCCTGCCACAAAGCAGGACGTGATTCCCGAAAACCAATCGCCTATTTCCATAACACTCATTGCATTTTCAAAAAAGTAACTGGGATGAACGCAGGTTTTCGTCGTCAGACCAGCCTAGACTTGACGTCATTTACCACGCTACTAGCCACACCTTCACCTATTGTAATGAAAAAAAAATTGTCCATGTCAATAACGTTCCACGTTGACATTTTCGAAGAACAACGCCTCAAGACTATATTTACCCGATCGTCAAGATGATCACTATTTTGATTAGTGGGAAGAGAAGAGGTTTCTTCACTCCTATTTCCTGCCATAAGAATACTGAGCAACTTTTTGGCATCACTTTGAGTGGGGGAAGAGGTGGTGGCCGAGTCTGAACTAAGACTGCAAGCAACCGGGTGTGGCAAAAGAGCATCATTTCCATCTAGAACATTTCCGGTTTCCTCTTCCAAGTTGTTGCTGCTTTCATCGTTTCTAGCACCAGTACCGTTCGATTGCTCTGAAACCGCGTCATCGCCGTTCTCATCCTCGTTGCCAGAAGAAGCGAAGCCATTGGATTGGAAGTCGAAAGATTTGTGCTGCTAGGTATAGACAAAATGATTAAGGAGAAGCATTTACGCCGATGTTGCAGTCAAAAATACATAGCTTTACGGGGAAGAAACAGACTTTTGGGATTTGACCGTCTGTTATTATCCAAAATTAATTTGACATCCTACACTAAGGCGGTAACATTCGAAACACGTGTCTTGTGTAGACTTTACACGTGAACAACACCGTCACCACGGAGCAGAAATTCCGATTGAGGAAACAGGAACTTACGTCGTTACTGCCGTGGGAGTTGTGTGAGTTCCGGAAGTTTAGCTGAGGCGAACTGGGAGATGAATTCTCCTTTGGAGAATGACTTACTCCATTTACGACAGGACTTTTGCGCACAAGTAAATCGGAATTTACAGCATCAGGGGTCACAGCTGAAAGCATATGCATATAAAGTCTACTTATACTAACCACGTAAATTGAATGGTGCTTGTCAAAATCAAATGGTCAACGAATACACTGAAATTGTAGCAGAATTCAATGTAAACCACAAGTTGCGCGATAATACGTAGAATATGTTAAGAGCATCAACGTAGACGTTCAGAACGTCTTGTACTTAGCAATGCTACTAAGATCCAGATATACCTAATTCATTGGTGGCGATTGTTCGATTCTCTCAGTTCGTCAAAGAAAAGGGAGGCAAGGAGATAATAAACGGCAATTATGTGGATTGTGGTACCGACCTAGAACATCAGTTCTCTAATATACGCGTTATAAATGAACTTGTAGCACGGTTAACTCTAGCGTACAAAAATGGCACCGTATTTAAATTCACAATAGTTCGCAATTTGTCACAGACCTTTGTCTCGTCAGTTATATAACAGTTTGTATTTCATGATAATTTTGACACCATAGACCTTAAAAATAATCAAAACAAACCCACAGATCGGATCCGTATTGAGAGTAAACTCTGCCAATTTCAAAAGCGGCTTCTCGGGCCGATGAGACAGGTGATTGAGGTAGAGAGTTAACGGAAACAATCCCAGCTCCTCCGTCGCTTGACTGATTTTCTTCTCCACTCGAAAAGAAGAGCTAACCTGGAGGTTACAAGCAAGATTTTTTAGAGGTTGACTACAACAGGTTGTCAGCTTCAATTTACTATTCGGTGTGAGAGAGATCAATGAGGAGTTCTCCTGATGGATAGTTAAGGGTGGAGGCGGCTGCAAAACGCCATTTTTACCTGAAAAATATACGGATTAGTGTAAAAATAATATGAAAATAAGGAAATAGATCTTGGGTGACATCAGTACTTTGCACCTATGCATGACACTCTAACAATAGACAACACAGCACAACAGCCGCGAAATTGGCTAAAATAGACCGTACATCGGTGCCCGCATGTAGCAAACAAATGTCATGGCGCTGAGAGCCTGTCATCAAGTGAAAGATAATACCTTAATTTTCTAGCTAGAATAAAAAAATAATTTAGCCATACCATCCTGTACTATGTGTGCCACTGCATTCCTGAGGACTGAGGACACGTTATCCTCGTAAAGATCACTTTCGAGGGAGCATAGCAAATGTTCTACAGACGACGACGACGACGGCTTCACGATTCTACAAAAAAAAACAACGCAAATACACTCATCGTTTAACAAGACAACTCAAAGATTCACCACCAAAATATGTTTGGTGATTATTAACAGAGGATTGACAACATAAAACAGGAATTGTGTAGATTACCATAGATCATGATCGTGGCGGATTGTCTATTTGCCTAAAAACAAATCCCTACATTTAATGGAAAGCAAAAAAGTTGTGAAGTACACGCGAATTTGCGTCCACAAGCGTAGAATAAAACCATATTCTACAGTACCCCTTCCAGTTTCTACAACGGCTTCAAAACAGCCCATGAGTTCCGTCTACATTGGACCTACGATTACTACCATTGTTCGGGCTGACTACAAAGTATCTAATGGCGGCCTGTGAACGAATCTGTTAACATTATGGTGATGCATGTTGGTTTACCTCTCAACAATGACCTAGGTTCAATAACCTCGAGTTTACAAACGGAATTAAATCGATCAAAAACGCACCACCATCCACCTAGCTGTGAAAAACAGGGCCCCAGTAATTAACTTTCAAAATGCTCTCCCAGAGGTCCAATTTGAGCAGATGCATTAGCTTTAATATCGTTAGGCAATTCTGAACTAGGTACACTCTTACCCAGCAAAACTACAGGCTTCAACCAGTTAATCAATATGAAGAGCTCCAAATTAAAAAACAAGGATTTGCCGAGTGTCATTTGTGGATTGCGAGCCAGATATTCGAACCTATAAACTTACATCCAACTGCCAATGATCTGGATCGAATTTGAGGGGATTTTAATTGTCGCCTTATAATCAGTGAACAAAGTGGAATCTACGGATTTTCCCAGCACCTGTGATTTTTCTCTTAATCATTAACACATTACTTACTAGGGACAGATTTCACATTTTCAGATCAAATAAGGATTTGAGGCTGGTATACTATAAAAGTAAACATTAAGTTCAAAAATAAGACACGCGTGGTGCAGCGGTGCCGCCTAGAGTCACAGCCTGCACGAATGGCACGACAAATGTTAGGCCCGGTCCGTAAACCATGTTAAAATTTGATTGCATTCCCCCGCTCTCGTTAATTTAGGATCGACCCACTTTTTCATTAACGAGATCGTTATCATTGTATTCATATGAATAATCATCAGACAACTCAGAAATGTCATCCACTGAAAACGAATCAAATGAAATAACCTTTCACTTTTTAAGCTAAAAACTCACCTTAGTTGTCCATCAATATGACGTGCTAGTGAGACCATTTCTAAAGCTGCCTTATTTGCCTCAGAAAGTTGGTCTTGATTTGGATTTATTTCTTCAGCATCAAAGGAATTTTTGTCAAGCTTGGAAATATCCCGTCGAAGCCGCTTAGGTGCTGGAAGTAAAAAGATATTATTTGAGAGTACTTAGCGCCGGACAGCAGAAATTCAGCCGATACCGACACTCACGGTGTACAGGTTGACCAGAAGAGTGGTGAACCTGGGCGGCCCCAGAGGTATCATCGAGGAATTGTGATTGTGGTAGCAGAAAGTACTTTGATGTGGTTGCTTCTTCAACGTAAGACTTGAGAATCCCTTCAAGGTAGGATATATTGGCTTCTGAAATATCTGCACAGTAGGGCTCCATTAGCGCCCAAAACCTGTTGGGTATGTCGTGCCTGTTAATGGTGACAAAAACCACATCAACAAAGCATCAAAATGCGGAAGAGAACAAAGGGATACTCCTTAAAGTTATTATTAGAAGGAAACAAAATAGTGAATAGCCAACCTATTAGCTCTTCAAAGTGAACATTTTTCAATCGAAAAAAAAACGAGAAAAAAACGTGGTTTGCCATCGCGGCAAAAGCAAATAAACAGCACAGCGCAGAGTCGATCTACGATACGGGACAAACACTAGATATAACGTTTTAAAAAAGCAACACATGCGATGAATTTTGATAAAAAACAATAGGCATACAACCAAAAATACGGACTTTATAATCGTATAAAGAGAAAAACTTACACAGCGGGGCTAGGAGTTGATGAAGTAGAAGTCTTCGGAATCTAAAAAGCATCAATTGCACTATGATTTAAGAGGACGTATTGCGACGCCATAGTAATTTCTATTACTAAACCTAGCAATTCTACTCAAAGTGATTTGTTCATGAAAGCTATGTCACGTTATTTCAACAAGCGCAACTTAAAAGAACATTAACACCAAACAGTAAACGCAAAAACTAGTTTGTCGATCAAAGCCAAAGTTCAATAGGAGGAATAAAATATTTAAAATGTTGCCATGAAAATGTAAGGTCCCGACGATAGGAATAAACTATTTTAAATTGAGAGAACATACTTTAGGAAACTACAGAGTTTGAATTGTGACAATCTATCAAAGGTATGTATGCAAAAGAGCATGTTGTATCGGAAAACAAGATCACCACCACAAAATAGTACGAGATTCAAACGGAGGAACACAATACGGTACAAAGTTAAATTGCAGAAAGGCACCATGTTAAAACGCAAAGTAGAAAACGGAATTTCAAAGCAAATGCAGAAAGTATTTAAAGTTTAACTTACATCTTTTGCCTTATTTTTAACACCCAAACTTTCCATACCATCGCAGGTTCGATGCATTTGTTGCTGCTGTTTTCGATGTGAAGAGAAAATTAGACTTAGTGGTTTGTTCGGATTCGCGGTTACGACCAGAGATTCCTCGTCAGCTTTCCGCATAGATGTTTCGGTGTCATCAGTTAGCATTTCACAAGGATGTGTAGGCTGATTGTTTGGATCAGGATCCATTAGCCCAAGATTACGAAGAACAGAAGTTGGTATTGGCAAGCCATGAAGATGGCATGACATACATGTCATACGTTGGGTTGCCGACGCCAGTAAACGCTCAATGTCCACTTGAAGGAGCGGTAAGTCAAGAAGATTTACCTCACCAACATCAACCACTACAATAAACAAAACATATCCAAATCGTGTTTGAGTAAACAACATGAAAGACAGATCAATTTACATTGGTGGAACGTAGGACAGTGACTGGGAATATCAAGCGATGAATGTTCGATTGCGTAAGCTACGGTATCACATTGTGGCTTCTTAGGTTTAATGCTGGGTTTCATGGTCCTAAATTGTAAAAAAAAAAAGCTTGAAAAATAAAAACACATCAAAAAAGTTCATGATCAACACAGAATTCGAAATACATTGTAATGTAGTTATAAGTGCACAGCACTTGTGGTTAAAAGGAATATCTAATAAAAAATAAATAACCCTTAACAGGAAATTTTCAGTTATAGCGAATTTCGACACAAACGCTGTAATTCACCGCAAAAGATAATATCACTTCCGTCCTAAAAATAGTAATTAACACCAACAATCAGAATGTTATATACGATCTGAACGAGGTAACAAGGAAATAGAAATGTGACAGCTCGGTAAGAAGAGCGAAACCTGATAGTCTATCGACCAAAAAAGACACCAGGAACATTAAGTTAATAAGGATTAACGCCCAAATATGACAAATTAGAGGAAATGACAATCCCCCACACCAGCATCGAGAGTAACACATAGGGCACAGAAAGGATAAAGTCACGACAATATCTGTCTATCCACACGGCAATTAGGAAAAATGAATTAAATCAACTTACTGAGAAATCAAAACTAGATTTTACAGACTCATTACAGTCACTTAAATAATCATAAAAATTACAGACTCTGTATTTCGTAACAGGGAAAAAAGGAAAATTAGGGATAACTAATCAAAAAAATTAATTAAAAAAATTGAGATATTTATTCAAATTTCTGTCACTTGTAAAGTTCAAAATTATACCTTAAATGTTACTTTAGCATGTCCTTTTACATTGGGTAAAAAGCTATACAGATTTGTGAAAAACATTAAAAAAATTTGAGGACATTGTAGATTGCAAAAGGGATGATTGAACGCATCTGGTAATATTTTACTTTCGATAATGTCTCTTTCAATGACTGATTTAAAATAATGTGAGCTTATTATAGCTACTCACTAATTGTAAAATCTGGCAAATGGATATGTCGAATTTTTGGGATGCAAACATAACATGAATGCGTTCAACACACGGCTGATTTAAAAAGTGATATATTCACAATATAAAAAATAATGTAGTAATTAAAACAGTGCAAAATTTCCTAGCTCCTATTTGGGAAGAGATTGTGATTTTATTAATCAGTCAAAAAATTCGCTTTTGATGGCATTTTTGTTGCTCCAATTAGCTGCAGCGCATCTCTTATCCCTACATTTATCTTATGTGGATGGATTGAACGACTTATATTTTGCAAAAAAATGCAAGATGCAAAATACTTGATGGACACGTTTAGTAAATAAAATCAGGTTAGGCTTTAGGAATTGATCCTAGCGGCAATTCTATTAAAACGTATATGGTTAATTTGTTGTAAATATAAAAAAAAACGAAACCACCGTTTTTTTTGTTTTAAAATAGAATTATTGTTAGTCCGTATAGAAAGTTTTTCATTGTTGTATACACATTACTTAGTCATAGCAAGGAATGTGACTTTTGCTGAATTGTACATACCTACTCAACTTTTTTGTTTTATCAAATCAATGGAGATATTTTCCTGTAATATGGCCTCACTGTTTCTGCTGCTTGCGTTCCGGCGTCCGGGGCGATTGTCCCTTGTGTATTTTTTCAAAGGTATTTGTGTGATTGTATCCAGAGACCAATCTAGTGTAATTGCATTTTGCCCTTCAAAGCGTCACTTAACATAGAATTTGAAGCCGGACACCTTGAGAAGCGGCTGCGCTCTCCAAATTACTGGTGGGTTGCGGTTAACTATGAAAAGTACGCATATTTTAGTATGTAATGGTGTTTTGCATAGCTTCGTCTAGTCATTCATCAACTATTCTTACAAATCGCACTTCATCGAACGATCACGACCAGTCAAAACAGGCAATAACCCGGGTGGAAACAGAGGTAAATTTCACTTGTATTTCGTCCTATTTTTAGTGGCAAAAAAACACCATTCGGGCCTGTGGCAACTGGTCAGAGCATTTGAGCTCTAAAGGAAAAGTTTATTTTTATAATTGCGTTACAGAAGTTTCCCAGTGGCAGAAACCCGCTGAGTGGACGCTCCCGGATATGACCCAGGGTGAACTTCGCAAAATAATTAGTGACAGGCGTTCCGAAAGTGATTGAGCCTTGTGTGTTTAATAATCTCTAGGTCAACCTGTCAAGCGCTCCTTTTCTTCATTGCATAAATCGGAGGGCGTTAGGTCACGAAACCAGGAAAATGCCTCTTCTCCTAAACGTCAAAGATGTCACAACGATATTAAAAGTAATGCCGATCGCCCCAAAACCGAGGGAAATTCGCATATAGAACAAGGATCAGGGCACCGGATTTCTCCAAAAAAAACAGGCCCCTCAGGTAAAAGTCACCTACCCTCAACACTCCATGTTACGCTTTAGGGTATGGAGTAACACCAGGCGTCTCTGATAGTGTTCGGGAGCCTATTAATGCTATAGTTAACAATTCTTCCTCGTCGATGACCCTATGCGCTGTTGCCATCAAGGAGAACTATCCGACCTATTGTGTTTCTGGCGATCAAAATTCTACCTGTTCTTCCGTCGCATCGTCGTCCCAACGTTTGCCTTTAGGTGATGAGAAGGTAAAAACACGGATTTCTTAAGTGTTGATTTTGTTGAATTGTTGATTTCAAGGCCGCCAGACAACTTTTTTCTTTCTCTGCTCGAGGTCATGAATTTAGATGTTTTTTCAACCGACACTGAAGACCATATTTTTGGAGAGATGACAGCAAAAATTTTGCTATTTGTCATTCAGAGCAACCGTTGTGCTCATTGTCCTGAAAGTGGTTAATGGTTAAATTAACATTCTAATTTAGTTCTGTCAGCCTGAGATCCCGCATTTTTCAAGTGCCGTTAATATCAGTAATAGCTAGATTTTCGAAATCTAACTCAATTAAATTTAATAATTAGATTATATCGGCTGGGTTGCTAAGCGCCATAATTCTGCTGAAATATCAAGTCGATTATACATTTGGTTTTTCTAGTTCGAATGCCGGTTTCTTCCCTACCTGACGCTGGCATTAATACATAGCTTTAACTTGGATTTTTTGCTTTATGAATGTGTCATTCGGCGACTTATATTGTGTTGAATTACTTCAGCTGTTTTAACATAGGATATTTGTTGTTTTAATGTGTTTGCGATTCCCCTTGGGAGTTATGACGGCCCTCCTTGCAAGTAACTTACTAGCGCTTAACGGGTCCGTGGATATTTGAATGTTTGAATTCCATTAGACAGCTGTGACGTGTACAAACATATGTTTAGGCGCTGTTATTGTTTTTAGCAGAATTCGCTGAGCCTAGCTTCAAAAATAGCAACTATAATTTCATCGCAATCGAATCGGAGTCCAATTTTGCCGCATGTTTCCTCTGGTCAAAAAATAAGTAGCGATCCACAGCCGTCTTCTGCTTCCCAATCTTCCAGCCCTTGTCCATCTCGTAATGAACCGTCTAACTTTACTCCTCAACAAGCCACTCACGGTTTCCAACGTCACACGCGACAGGAGTTGGCAGCTTCCAGCAACACTAATCTGATCTCCGACCAATCTGCACCATTTGAGCGCAGATATTCATTGCAGGGTGATAAGCCATGTATGTTCCGGTTTTACATTCATGTATCTTGTTGTGATTTATTTCACATGGTTTCAGAATCCCATGTCTTTCTGTGCTTAGTACCTTGAAGCTCATCTAAATTTATGTCCATTTGGTCTCTACGAGTTAAATGCTCAACCAAATCAAGAGTTGTCTTGTCATATCTGATTCAGTATACGGCAAATATCCCGTGGATGGACTCCAGTCAGTGATTTTCGCTATACCTGTGTGCTTTTAGTGCTGCTTAGACAATTGACGCGAATTTCGTTGACAGGATGCATTTTGTGCATACCCAGCTGCATTTATAAGCAGTACCTTCAACAACTAGGTATCTTGGTAAAATTCATACAATTCTCTTAAATAATTTCAGCTTTAAAATTTGGGTCATCGTTAGCTAAATATTTAGTATTTCTACTGGTAAATCGCTGACCACTGATTATTAAAAGCTTCCGGATTGTGATACGCAACTGGGTTCTTATCTCTCCTCGGCATTTCAGCTCAACAATTTACCACTTCAATGTGGTTGTCTCCAAAGTCGCCTCTAACCGTCGTTGTATTCGAACTCGATGTCGTGATATAATATCAATCTTATTTCTTAGTCGATATTTTTCCGTCACCCAACATTAGGGGTTTGTTTATTAGTAAACACTTAGACGCCTCGGGGTTTATCTGTGATTTGTAAGTCATACCCGTGCTTATTTTTCAATAATCTTTAGAGACATTTGTGGCTATATTGATGTTCAAATCTGTATTTTATGAACATCTAATCTAGTCTTATTGAGAGTACTTTTAGTGTCTGTTCTTGACATGCATTTATGACCACTAATGTTTGAGGATGAAAAATCTTTTACTGTTGAAGTGGAAAGGCCCATAGTTGCAATGTAATGTTCCAAACCAATGATTAGATTGAAACAGGTGGAAACAATCTTATTCTCGAACACTTAGATGTAGACACGTTGTTAGTGATTTCGGGTTCTTGCCCATTTAGTAATCATTTGTAAATCTTGGGCTATGAGTAAATCTCAATATGTGCCTGTTTTCCACTATTGCTTGATACCTTAAATAGCGCACAATTCTGCCTCATTTGGGACCTGTCTATATTACTTCGATCATTCAGTATTCATATTTTAGTAAATTCGCCTCAGCGTACAACTTCTATAAAGCCAGATCAGGTGCTTCGGAACTTCGTTTCTGTGTTAAGTCATGTGGTCGATCGTCGTGATCGCCTGTCCATGACAAATTTCAACGGAACTAATAACCGAACGCCTCCTGTTAATCCCACCCCTCGCTCCCAACAGCCTTCCGTCGCCAATCTTTTGTCCTCAATATTAGGAACACGTAGGTTTTATGTCAAATATGTTGAATTATGACAAAAACTGGTGCAGTAATAAACGAAATTGCCTTGAAATCGTTGTACCATTGATAAAACTACCTCTCTTGTGTCGTACCACCCAGCCCCAAATTTTTGTTATTTGAATTCAACCAACAGTAAAAAAAACGTCTCAGTCTCCTACTTCATTCATTTTCCATGCTCACCTTGTGTCAGATTTCCCTTTTTATTCTTGAGGTGGCTAGTATGTCCATGCAATATCACGTAGTTTCATGTTTAATGTATTGTAATACACCAAAGCAACGGAGAAAGTGTGTAACATGACATAATAAAGTCAATATCTAATGCGCCCCTGGCAAATACGTCACAAATTGCAGATACGTTCAGCTGCTCATGGTTTTTTTTAAGTTTCAGAATTCCACCTCGTTTGAAATGCTCTATTTTCTATAAATTGCGTTTGCCTAGTTGCCTTTCTAGTTTCCTTAACGTCATTGACAAAGCTGTATTAAGTCCAATCCCTAATCCCATTTGATGAGGCCAATGATTTCTAGTGACTATGTTGTTCTTGTTCTCATCTGTCGTTTCAAGTGTTAGTCCTGGATTGTGGTGCAGAGCCCTTTGTTTATTCTGTGGTTAGACGTGCCCAGCAGTGTTGAGTTACTTGCTCGATTTTTCGTTTTAGATACAAAGCCTTCCGATGGACGACCTCTAACCAACGCATTGTCTCCAACACCCAACAGGTTGGGCAATTATATCAATCGAACCCTTGAATAGTAGTATAAGTTCACTTCGTCTCGCATATTTTACGCTTGCTTCTAGTTAGTCGCCATCCGTACCACAGGCTGTTACGAGTGATGTTCCACTTCAGACTCCTCGTGATTCATTTTGTGCCGTCTTTCAAGGTTACCATTTACCTCTACAAATGGTCTTTGCGTGTGGTTTTGTACGCGTGTGCGCACAAGTAGGCGGAAACTTCTTTGGCATACTGGTTAATAAGTGGTCAAAACTAAAATACACATGCTCTAACTTCTATGTGAATTCGTGTATGTTCAATTTGTGGAACCATTTGAATAAGCGGATTCGAGACAGCCCGGTAAACATCAGGGCAGAGTTCGGGTACTTTTTCGGAGCTTGCACTTTTATATACATTCCCTAATCTTAAGTAGTTCACCCTTGACTATCCATTTTTCAGGAGTATGGTAAATGGCTTGGACAAGACAAAAAGCGAACGTACTCCTACCTGCCCACCCTCCTCCGATGGCGCTTCAATTATAATTTCCCCATTGTGTCCTCGAAGTTCTCCTTCACCTGCTAACACGTCTGCTTCCGATTTCCGGAATCATCCCCAAAAACGTCCTAGCCCTCTTGAGCCATCCTCTGTAGGCATAGATGTGCAGCACCACCGGCGTGCTCGATCAAGTGATGTTGACGGGACTGCGGTAGCCATTGCCGCTGCACCCACAGGAAATCGTCACTTTCTTCTGGCTCTTGACAGCCCTGGGATGCTTAAGTTCGTCGATCCGGTCTTAACGGCTCGGTTTCAGCACCCAGTGGCTGACTCTCTTGAGAGCGAGGTATTGCAATCTGCTGAGTCATTTAACACTTTCCGATCTACTTGTTGAGGCAAATTACTGAATATGAGTAGGATATTGGTACTGAACCACTGACTTTTTAGCACTCCACACCCACGGTACCATTGAGCTGGTGTAAATCGTACCCAACGTGTATACGTCTTTTACTTCAGGCTCAGTCGGTGCTGCGGAATTTCGACCGGCTACACAGCGTCCTGTACAGCGAACTGTCTGGGGAACTAAAGAAACTCCGCGCTTTAGTGGGCATAAGTGAAACAAAGTTGAAAATCCATCAAAAAAGGTTTGCTTATATAATTTTTCTTAGCATTTTAATTCCTATTGACGATCATTAATTTAGAATGATTTTTTGTACTCTTATGCTTTACCTCATTGTTAGATAGCTTAGACCATTCTTAAGAGCGTATTTCGAATGCGTACAGTTGCCCGACGAATGATTGAAAATTCTCCTAGACTCAATAGGCTTTTCGTTTTTACTCACTCCTTGTACGAATTAGAATTCACACTAAAACTGCACACTTTCCTTTCGAAACTGCTGGATGTTTTCTCCCTAGAGATCTTCAGTTTTGGAGACAGAAATTTGCAGAACGCACTAGCTTTAGCGGCTGACTGATTTCCTACACAGCAGGTCCACCCACCACTTATTACCAATACAGTATGCGTCTACTAAGTTCCGACGTATCACCGTGTCTTTTGAGTTTGTAGCTTTAGCTCTAAAGACATTGTCCAATTGACTGGACCTTTCCTATACGCTCCAAAGCTTGTAATCGTCTTTATACTAATATACAAGAATTTTACGAAGCCAGACCTCAGCATCGCTGTATTGCCACTTGATTCATTTTTTCGACCATTTAGGAAGGAGTCTCTCCAACAGTTAATGAATGCCATCGAGTCCAGACGAGCATTGCCATCGTTAAGTTCCCCTGACCCCGTGGTTTGAACACATTCAGAGTGAATTGTATGTGGCCTCCGTTTGTCCGCACCCCCTCCATTCCAATCCTGCTCTTTAGTGGCAGCTCTCGTCAGTCACGTCAATCTCTTCTCGCCTTGCGTGTCAGTTACCCCGCACTGTAAAGAATGACAAATTTAGTTGCAAGCTCTCATCTGCCCCCTTATCTACCCTCTGACGAGACAGCTGATGACGTTAATTTTTTATTTTATTACGTGATTACCTTTCGGACTGTTGCGACTACAGAGGGCAACGCAAGCGAGGCTATGGCTCGGCAAACCTTTCCCTTCCCCATGTACAGTTGTACACTTCTTCAGAGATTATAATTTTTATCACAATGTGGCCTTTTTAAATCATAACAAAGAGCTTGGGCTATCGTCAAATTTATTGTCAATGATCACTTGTAATCTGTTTCCCCCCACTCGAGGTGCCAGGGACTGATGAATGACCGCGATCCGGCGTAGTTCTTCAATAGTGTCTTACCAGGTGGATAGAAGGGGTTAACATTCTGGGCGAGAATGTATGACTCCAGCCTATTTTCTGTGTCCAACAACTCCTGTGACACAAAGCGAGCACTGAATGGCAGTAGATCCGCAACACCAGTTAGTATGCGGGACGCTTCTCGCCAGTCCAAATGGCCACCAACTTCTATTATGATCCTGTTTGCGCGGACGGGCGTCACGTAGTGATGTATGTCGGCTACGCAAAAGGGGCGGGTTTTAGGATTGCTTATTAGGTACGGTTAATTAAAAACTAGTGAAATACCTTTTCCTCCACCCATGCGTTTGCCAAGGGACCTTTGGGTTTTAGGTTTCCACGGACCAGGTACTCGCCAGACAGCAAACATCCGATTCTCGTCGATTTTGCGGTTAATTGTTTGTCTTATCATATCAAGATGGCCAATCTTAAGTTCACCTCCCTCAAGGGACTGTGGCGGAGGAAAATAAACAGCTAATCAGAAACTAGCAACGGTATTCAGTAAAACGTTAGGAATGCAATTCATACAATGGTTTTAATGGTAATCTAATGCAGTGTCAGACATATGTGTAAGTGCCAAATCAAATAAAAAACAGCGGTTATATTATGTAAGAGTGAGCGCTTTATACACAACCTAAGGCGTAATTTCATTCACAAAAATGAAAGCTCTTCGCTAAGCAAAAGCCCCACACTCAGTTAAGGTTTAAAATTTAGTCCAGCGCATTTACAATTATCAATGGAAATCAAGGGTCAGACAATTGTGAACTTAAGTCGTATTAATTGGCATTAAACCGCGGCAAAGCAATAGTTCGGTAAATCGCGTGCAGAATAGACCTAAGTGACCCGACCATTATGCATTGTCATTTTTGAGCATGAGGGTCCCGAATGGCAACGATAAGGTTAAATTATCATTACCACTAAAATAGCATTAAATTTAGTAATTTGACTACACAGTAAAACGCGAAAGCCCAATCACCTGAATTCCGAATTGGGAGTGCTTCAGAAAATTATTCACAGTCTCAGGTCCACGAATATCATAATGCCTCCTTGGATATTTATACATGCGTTCTCCACCGGCAAGAACTGGCGTACGCAACAGAGGATGAAGTTTTCGTCTCTCGGGTGGGAACTCCGCTGAAACAAGTTCGCCTTTATAAGCATACTTTTTCTCGTGGTGTCTTTCACTAAAAGGTAATGGGAGACGATGGAAGAGAGCAAGTCCCAATTTCAAAACCTCCAAAGAGGGCTTAAGCAAATCACCACCGACGATAAGCGGCCTTGCAAGCGCCATTCTCAGTGTGCGTGTGGTGTAGTGTTGTGGTGTGGCGTCGGATCAGGGCGCAGACATGTTGGACCACCTGGCCTCAGCCAATCCCGTGTCTCTCTGCGATCCAATGGCATGCGGGAAAGGAGGGCAGCCAACCAGAGAAGGACATGGATGAGATGCAGTATATAATGATCGGTGTGGCCAGCGTGGGGACTCGGATGGAAGGCGCCTGACGCGTGGCTCTGGCTTCTGATTGGTCAATAAAGCCTGTTCTGTTGTACCGGTCTTTTACCTATTAGGGTTCGGGTATTCTACATTGGTGGCAGCGGACGCGTTCGAATTACGCGAATCGGACCCCAGCCCTTTCTCTTCTATGGTCAGCAGAGGCGAAGACCCTTGAATGCCAGCAGAATTTGTCATGGCGTTCATCCGATGTCCAATACACTGGATCCATAGACACTGCCCGGGATTAGGACTACTGCATCTGAAGAGGCATTGGCAACTCAGCAACGACGACTTGGACAGTGGAAGCCAGCTGGACTGCATCTGCGAAGGACCTTCAATAGATGATGAGTCTTTCCTGCAAGTCTACAAGAGCAAAGTCCCTCGTCAACTATTCGCATGGGCCACTAACCAGCCAGATGTGTGGTGCGGGAAGTGTCGAACTGGATATCTTTCCAACACTGGAAATCAACAACGGTGCGGCGAACCAAGCCAGAAGCTGAGGACAGCTTCACTGCTGAGGGGGAGGCAGTGTGGCGTCGGATCAAGGCGCAGACATGTTGGACCACCTGGCCTCAGCCAATCCCGTGTCTCTCTGCGATCCAATGGCATGCGGGAAAGGAGGGCAGCCAACCAGAGAAGGACACGACTGAGGAGCAGTATATTATGAGCGGCTTGGCCAGCGTGGCGGACTCGGATGGAAGACGCCTGACGCGTGGCTGCCTTTTCTATTTGGTCAATTACGACTGTTCTGTTGTACCGGTCTTTTTCCTATTAGGGCACGGGTATTCTACATTGATGGCAGCGGACGCGTTCGAATCACGTGAATCGGACCCCAGCTCTGTCTCTTCAATGGTCAACAGAGGCAAAGACCCTTAAATGCCAGCTGAATTTGTCATGGCGTTCATCCGATGTCCAATAAAGTAGATCCATTGACATTGTCCGGGATTAGGACTACTGCATCTGAAGAGGCGTTGGCAACTCGACGACGACGACTTGGACAGTGGAAGCCAGCTGGACTGCAACTGCGTAGGACCTTCAATGAATGATGAGTCTTTCCTGCAAGTCTACAAGAGCAAAGTCCCTCGTCAGCTATTCGCATGGGCCACTATCCTGCCAGATGTGGGGTGCGGGGAGTGTCGAACTGGATATTTTACCAATCATGTACAGTGTGGTGGATTAACCCAGAAGCTGAGGGGGTGGCAGTGTGGCGTCGGATCAGGGCGCAGACATGTTTGACCACCTGGCCGCAGCCAATCCTGTGTCTCTCTGTGTTCCAATGGCATGCGAGGAATATAAGCAGCCAACCAGAGAAGGACACGACTGAGGTGCGGTATATAATGAGCGGCGTGACCAGCGTGTAGGACTCTGATGGAAGGCGCCTGACTTGTGGCTCTGGTTTGTGATTGGTCAATCAAGCCTGTTCTATTGTACCGGTCTTTTTCCTAATAGGGCTCGGGTAATCTACATCAGTGACGTATAAGGGCGCAGAAATATTAAACCCCGTCAATCTCTGCCAATCCTCTGTCAGTGTGCATTTAAATGGCCTGCGAGGAGGATCTGTAGTCAACAGCAGACGATGGCGGATGAGGCGCTGTACATATTTGGTGGCGCGGCCGGTATGGTGGACTTGGATGCATGGGGCTTGGCGTGTGATTGATCATTGGAACCTATTCCGTTGTGCTAGCCTTCATTTTACCAGAGCTCGGGTAATTTACAGTTGCATAGCATGAAATAAGAGCGAGGTCATTATGAATTACGTTAAAGTAGACTAATCAGCCAGCCCCAGACAACCACTAACCGGAATAACAGCATAAGGCGTGGAGCAGAGTTTGGTGAATACTTTGTGATGATAACTAAAGAATAAGCCACGGTATCTCTCTAGTATTTGCTCAATTCGCCTTTTTTCATACCAACTTGGGTTTGATGGTATCAAGTATCCACCATAAGAGCAACTGCTCAACAAACATAACTTTGGTTCTGGAAGTTATATAATTAAAGTTATAACCTTTCGACCAGAAAGTGATGTCAGTTACTTGATTAAATTTATGAGTCTAATTCATCTGCTTACTTCAGAAGACATTTCAAATACATTTTAAACCCATGCAGGAACTGAGATGATCAAGCAATTGTCATTTCATTAACTGTCACGATTCGTCGCCGCAACCCACCGTATTAATTCACACTTTGAAAGACCGTTGCAAAAATGAATTGTGTATTTGTGAACACAGCTGTATTTTTCGGAATGGATATCAAAATAAGCATAAAATGTTTTCTTTAATATGACGCACAATCACATAACTGAAAATAATTAAGGTATTATAAAACGAGAAATTAGTGAGAATGACTGAAATGGAAACAAGGTGAATTAATTTCATAGGCATAAATTCCTTAGGATGTAGGCAGAGCTGTTCAGAATAAAATCATTGAATTAATTTTGCACAATCTTCCAAAAAAAAAACTCTTTCGAAACTTTATATTAGCTGTGCAAATAAAGCGATTAAAATGGGCTGCATAGCAAGCACAATCTCCTATAGTGTCAAATTAGTCTGTTATGCCGTAAACGACTAATGGTGTTAGGATGAACGTCTTGCTGCAAATAAATTATCAGAAATGAGGAATTAACTTTTGGGACATTACTTAGTTGTAAGATTTTCTAATTTTTTAAGTCTTAAAACTTAACCCGCTACCTGAAGTTGCTATGTGTAAATGTTAATGTAATATTAGTTATTCAAAGCCTGTAATTCTGCGGCTCTATGGTCTAAAATTGATATTTTTTAAAGTTTTAATGCTTTTGTTTGAAAATACTCAAGGCAGGTTTAAGAAAATCATTCTTAGCACAAATATAAGGCGTCCATTTTGTTAGATTTTACGGAGCGGCTTATTTTTTAAGTAAATACGGGAGTTTTTAGCCTTAAGCAGGTTATTAAAACATAACTGCATTTTAGTAGCCTAATAATGTGGCAAATAACTTTAGCATCATCATTTCACTGCAAAACAGCTGCATTCACCCCCTAATTATCCAAATAAAGAACGACTCAGATGCATATACAAAGTATTTGACACCTCCTAAGACATTTACATCTGCACCAGTGTTCAGGAGGATTTGAAGTCTTAAACATTGTCTTTTTTAAGCCCACCTATGTATCTGATTCCTTACTTGCTTTTAAAAGAACTCCTTTTCTGCCTAGTATAGGAAAATGATCGGATGTTTGCTTAATGTAATTTTTTACATTCACGCATAATTAAAATACAATTATTAGATGTATGAGATATATTTATTATTAACCCAAATCAATTTTTAATCAAAGTGAAAATATAATGTGTCGTAAATCCATTAATTCACACTCGTTGATCCGGTCACTCCAGACTCCGACACACCTTTCCCCTTTTTACAACATATCATCAGCCGCGAGGAACCTCAACTCCCCCTAGTTAGAGCAAACGCTTATCCTGCTTTATTACAACACTTCGGTCTAGATATTAGCACATTTATAATACGCTGTTTTACACACCTGAGCTATATATATAAGTGCACAAACGGCACCCACGACAAACCGACACCAAATTGGTTGAACTCTAAAATGAACGATTGTGTTCATGCTCCTTTTTCGGTTTACTTCATCGTCGTGACTAGCAGGGTAGCGTAATCGGGCCAGATCCAATTAAGTGGCCCCGACGTGGTTCAAGGCCACATGCTGGGGCCTACAACAAAGGTTTGGTTGACAAAAAAATTATGCGTTTTTAGTAGCACGTTGTATAGGTCCCTTAAATTGCTCAGTTATAAATTTGTATTAATATGAAGAAACAATCATTGGTATCATAAAACCAGAAGTTGATAATAATTTAAAGATGTCAAATGATTGGCTTGTATGGAACAGGTTTATTTTGTAAAATTTTGAAAAGAAGAAGAGTTGCACGTTTTCGATCGCTTAAAGAGTATCGAAGAATTAAGTCTAATTACTTGTACGGCACAAGATATTTGTAAGTACTAGTAGACAACAAAAGGTTTGATGAAATCGAATTTCAGACCCCAAATCAGTATTTCTGATAAACTTTGGAGTGTTTAGTAATAATACATCTTGAAACAATAGATTTTGAGCGTTTGCTTTAATTCAATGAGGATTTGATTCATGCAAAGATATAATTGAAATAGAAAACTGGGTGCTAGCAAAGAAAAGCAATATCCACTGTGAAGACATTGAGTAGATAAGCTTGGGTTATTTGAGCGGTGTATATTGGCTTAGTTTGCGTGCATAGAGAAGAGCAAAGGAAAATGCGAAAGCATTCCCAACCGATGCCACAAATGAGGACACAGACATAATCAACATCTTTTCATCGAAGTAACTGCTAACTACGACAGCGCATCCCTGAAAAAGAAAGATAACTGCAATAAGGAAATTGATTGATATTCACATTGATAGTGTGAAGTTACCTACTAAATTGGATACGACATCTTCGACTAGATGTCACGTATGATATGCACATGAGAAATTCGCTGAAAATCGTTCTTATTCTAACTTATCGAAAAAATCCATTTGAGAGGAATGAGTACATTCACAGGTCTTAAATGACCGTTTGTCACAGATTTGAGTCGGCTGCAGCGGTCTCGGTTATATAAAATCCACTGTACTTCTGACCAGTTTTTTTTTAAATTACCAGAATTAATTTATGGGTATCAAATGAAAGTCATTTCAGACTCCTAAAATTATCCATGTTAGTCAAAATGCCAACGATTCAGGTCAGACAAATAAACATTAAATATTCCCCTGTAAATGAAACAGATTGGTTACATGGTGTTAGCAGCTCAGTTTCAGCAAATGTGATTGTGTTTCCAAAGTATTCAAATGTTAAATGTCAGCACCACTAAATCATTGAGGGTCGGATTGATTTGAAACAGCGATTAGATTACCTAAAAAAGCAAGAAGGCTAACGGCTGTGTGGGGGGTACTTGTCAGTCTCATTCTTAATGTGATTTCTAAATGCATCAGTGACGTCAAAATGAATAGACACAATACTGTGTGTCATAATTACGATATTAATAGTTTTATTAGCGAAAAATGAGGCTATTTTATTCTAGTTCCATACACTTTTAATTTCAGAAGGCCAAAGGTTTAAATCTATTGAAGGGACAGTGAGTACATTGACCTAATAATGCTATTGCTGCACAAAACATTTAAATACCTGTCGTAGGTTTAACTGAACAGTATGTAAAGAACGTCATTCTGTTGCGGTTAAGAAGTAATTATATTAAAATGTGGTCGCACTGACGCCACGAGTAGAAATAATTCTGTTTCTATGGAAGAAAGTAAAATCAAGAAGTTGTTACCCTGGTTGGTGCAAAGTTTAGCTGTGTGGTTAAGCTGCGATCGATTGAACCAGTTGCCTGCAGATGGATGAGTCAACTCACAAGCGAGACCTTGAGGTGTGGCATCGGTAATGTATGCGCTAATTCCATGCACTTTCTTCATGATACAACGCAAACAAACGGCACGAAGTCATAGAACCTCAACATAGTTAAAATGGAAAGTGTAGATCCTTAAAAGTGGCCTTTACTACAAGCTTAACAGTCCGGATTTATCAGTCTTATATTCTGAGGCAATTAAGGCTTGGTCCCATGGATGTGTGGAGCCGAAAACATAAATAAAAATTTGACGTATTAAATGATTAAAGGTGACTTCACTCACGAAATATCCTTTAGTGAGTGGAGTAGTTGAATTTAATGAGTTAAACTTAGAGGAGATACTAGGTACACTTTATATCACCTCTTCGTTTAAAATAACTAAAAAATATCAACTAAACTGTTTTTGAATTAAAAATATGGCAGCACATTGTACGAACATGGTAGTTAAAGGGACAACTCTGACAATGACTACCGATTCCACATTTTGGCCCAAAATATAGTTCCTTTTTAAATTCATCAGTGTTCAGGACATGAAGCATACACCAGCCTCTCCCTTCTGTGCCTGGAAGATTTAGTAAAATTGAAGGATAAATGGTTGAAACTTATACAACGAAATGCCACTGTTGTTGTACCGACAGACGATGGTTTGTTTACAAACAAAAAGGCATGAGTGATTGGGCGAAATTACTAATGGCGTTGTTACACCACCATTTACCACATGTAATAACTCCATAAGGACATTTTGATCTCCAAACAAGGCGTATTTACAGCAAATTTGTTTTGGATATTCACAACACGTACTTCATAGTGTTGTCCCAAACCGTACGATGTGAAAAAACTGAATTACTCCAATACAAGTACATCTACATTGCAATTAATCACTCGAAATCAGAGAATGAACTTATTGCTTAAGTCGCACGAAAGCATTTTACATTTTAGGACTTGCGCACAAGCACTGTCTTCATCCCAGGGTCGATAAGGTAAAGAATTACCAAAAACCTAAAATGCCAGTGCTTGCTCAAACCGTGTTAGTTACCCTTTATTGGTCTGAGGTGATGTGTAGCTACCAAAAATTCGTAAACACTCAGCTATCCAGAGGGTGTACTCTTCCACGGTCCCTGGAAAACAATAACTCGCATATCATATTCCAATGAACTATCATCCACAGCTCACTACTAGACCAAAGCCCAACATCCCATTAACTAAATGTCTATTCTCATTTCATAAAGATATATAGGTATGTGAATGCATTACAAACTGCGACAGTGATTTTGCAAGTAGATAGTTCTCAAACGTCTCGTAGTCATTTTTGGCTCCGTCAAAATGTTTAGATTCTGAGTCTGCGTTTGTTGCTACAAACTGAGGAAACAAGCAGCGACGCAGTTGTAAAACTTCAGTGACAGGAAATTAT